GCCATTTAATAATATGAGAGAAGAAAAAATCAGATTCGTCTTCTAGACATGCTCCTTCAGCAGCATACGTTTGAATGGTCTTCTTTACATATTTAGGATTGATGTGTCCTAATCTTTCATGCCAGAGTTTCAAACTGTTCATATTAGAGGTGGAATTGCATTCTATATGTTCAACTTTCATTAGCATTTTGAACATATTTCCGTTTCTAATTCCAATACAAGATAACTCGCCTTTAGAATTATAAAATTCACATCTTTCTTTGTGAGCTATCATAGTAAACCCCTTATCTGTTATTAGACCAACCGACAATAAATTTCGTTTTAAATCTGGGATATAAAGAACATCTTTGATAACTTTATCTTGCCATTTTCCATTAGCGTACGCCTGAACTTCAATATCTCCCATGGCAGCTGCTTTAAGATGCTTATTATTAGCAATGCGAATAACAATATCGCTTTTTACAGGTTGTAGGTTTTTGAACCAGTCTTGACGAAAAGACATGTGCACACTAGCACCTGAATCTGCTAACCATATGTCTTCGTCATTGTCTGATAAGACTTTCAACATATCTAAATCACATGATAAAGCTTCTCTATTACTGGAACAAGCTGGAACGTTACTTTTTGATAATCTTTTCTTGCATTCTTTCCACCAATGACCAACCTGCTTGCAGTATCCACATTTCGTTTTTTGTTTTAGAACTTGAATGTTTGTCTTATTTTTTTTTTAAACTCACTGTTTGTATTTGTAGCGCCGAGTTGTCTTCATTCAGTTCATTAAGAGATAACTTTTGTTCTTCTTTTAAGAGCCTCGCTATTAGATCTGTTAATATTTGTTTTGCAGGATCAACAGAATCCCAAGCAGTAACGAACATTGCAAATTTAGACGGTAAACTATTTATAATCTTTGATATAACAGCAACGTCTGATATAGTTTCATCGAAAACAAGGAAAAATAAGAATATCACAAGCAAAATTCGTAGACAAAATTCTGAAGAAATTTAATATGATCAATTGTTCTCACTCGATGATTCCCGCTGACCCCGGATTAAGGCTTAAACTTACATCAGAAGTGGATAAAAGAGAACATATTCCTTATAGAGAAATTATTGGAAGCTTATTATTTCTAGCTACAAATACACGCCCTGACATATCCTATGTAGTTAGCTACCTAAGTCAATTTTTAAATAATTTTGGAAAGGAACATTGGACAGCTGCGAAGAAAATACTTAGATATCTCAAAGGAACAAAATATTTTGGAATCCTTTATGAAAAATGTCATGACAGCAAATCAAATAAATTAAGTTTAGTTGGATATACTGATGCAGATTACGCAGGAGACGCCGAAACAAGAAAATCAAGGTCTGGATACATTTTCTTGTTAAATAACTCTCCCATAACCTGGTGTTCACAGCGTCAGCAAGTTGTTGCACTTTCTACAACAGAAGCCGAATATATGGCATTATCTTTCAGTTGTAGAGAAGCAGTTTGGTTACGAAATTTTATTAAAGAATTGGGATATTCTCCAGAACATTCACGGACTATCATTAAAGTTGATAACCAAAGTGCAATAAAATTAGCCAACAACCCGGAATTTCACAAAAGAACAAAACATATCGACATAAAATATCACTATGTTCGTGAACTGATAGAAGAAGACAAAATCAGTATTGAATTTGTCGAGTCTAAAACCCAATTAGCCGATATCTTCACGAAACCATTACCAAAAGAGAAGTTATACAGTATTCGAAGAAGTTTGAAGATTTTAGATTTTAATGAAGTAGAGGAGGTATTGGAAGGACTTCAATAAATGTGTATCATACTGTATAGTTTATGTTTATATAGTTTGTTGATGTTTTTGTTTGATAGAGTTGTTAATGATTGTCAATAAAAAAAAATATACATTTTTCTGCTCCTCTATAAATCTTCATTCAAGAAGATCTCTGCTGGTTTAAACATATTCCTTTAATATTTTTTTTATTGACAATCATTAACAACTCTATCAAACAAAAACATCAACAAACTATATAAACATAAACTATACAGTATGATACACATTTATTGAAGTCCTTCCAATATTCCAATACAATTGCAAATGATCTTGCTGTTATTGGAAAAAATGCAAACAACGCTTGACTAAAAATGGTGCCAAAGCTTTCTAAAACAAGGCGAGCCTTACAAGAATCTTTAAACCAAATGGAAGTGAAAACGGCTATTGGTGAGAATTTTTTATTGGTTAATGATATGCTTCAAGAAATTGTAATTTGTCAGATATGTTTATGTATTGTTTGTTTTAAATAAAATTGATTTACATTCAACTCATTCTACTGCATTTCCAACACGAACTAATCTATCAAGTTTCGTTACTTCTGAATTATTAAAATTTTCTCTTTCGAATCATGTCGAACTATTTTAAATTTTCCTTTTGGAAAGTGGGCTTTTAATAATTTCCCACAGCTATTATTCGTTTTGGAAAATAGATTTTTGCACTCACGACGTTGTTTGATGGAATCTGCGAATTCTGGATTTTCAAAAGTAAATTCAACTAATCTTCAACAAGTTAATGTTAATAGAGACGAAGTTTTATGTAAGTAGTAATGAACAAAAATACAGTAACTAACGATTGAAACTATCTATACTCTACATGAAGAAGAAACAAATGGTTTAATATTATTTGCCTTCCTGATATAATTGGCAACATTGTAACGATTTGTAAATATTCTATTGTGTATTTAATAGTACAAATAATAAACTATGTATAATAGTCTTTAATGCCAATGATAAATTAGACGAATATAAAAGGTTTTCATGAAAACTAAATAACTTTATTTATTGGTGCTAAGTAAATAAGTTTACAAATTCCGAAGCTTGCTATAGGTTTTATTTTGATGTTTATTTATTTATTTATGGGTTAAAACCCTTTTTACAATTAAATATACATTTATAATCTTAATACTAACATAAAATTAAAATTACATAGTGATATACTTCATACTACTATTTTTAAAGCTACCTAAAGTGATATTAAACAACTCTAAATCTTTATTGAATTTATTTCCTAATTTTAAAATCCTAGTTACCGTCTCATTCAGTCCATAATTCGTGTGATAAAAAGGTATATGAAAATAATCCGTATGTCTTGTACGTCTAACATTTGTACTAAACGAAATCAATTGCAATAAGTCATCACACAGTACTAAATTATTTATTATTTTGAATAGAAATATAAGATCTGATTCTATTCTCCTATGGTTTGAGAGTATTCATATTCAAGGAGTGAAGAATATCATTATATCGCCGTTCCGGTAAAACAATGACGCAAGTGCAAAATTATGACATTTTGATTAATGACAATAATTTTGCATTTGCGTCATTGTTTTACGGGAACAGCGATATGTATTATCTTCTCCCCTTAAGCCCATTTTATATGCACAAATTCGTAGAAACTTATTTTGTACCTTCTCTATCTGTTCAATATAAATGTTATAGTTAGGATAACAAATAGGACTACTGTACTCCAGAACTAAACGAACGAGTGCAAAGTAGAGCATTTTAAAAGAGGCAATTGATAACTCATAAGTATTTCTTTGTAAGAAACCTAACATTTTAAAAGCCTTTGACACAATACTATCAATGTGAATGATAAAAGACTTCTTATCAAAAATAACTCCCAAGTCCCTGATATCTTCTACCTCTTTAAAAGGCTTATTATTAATAGTATGTGAGTACTGATGTATATTATTTGATTTACTAAAACTAATTTTGTAACATTTATTTACGTTTAAATATAAAACCAGCGAGACAAACAGTTTAAATCTTCTTGCAGCAATTGATATTCAAATATATTTTCTATAGATTTAAAAATGTTTACATCATCGGCAAACTCCAGTTGTTCATTATTTTTAATGGAACTACTCAAATCATTAATAAATAAAATAACTAATAAGGGGCCTAAGTGAGACCCCTGTGGCACTCCTGACAATACATTTATTGATGGAGATGTGCAGCTGCCATATTTAACTTATTGGGTTCTGTTTGACAAATAACTAAAGATCCAGTTACCTAAGTGAATGTTCGCTGATGCCGTAACTATCTAATTTAGAGATTAAAATTTCGTGATTGGCCCTGTCAAATGCTTTTGAATAATCCACATATATAGAGCCAACTTGATGTTTTGCTTTAAGAGCATTTGCAATAAAATGATTATAAAGCGCCAGATTAGTGCAAGCAGATTTACCCTGACAAAAACCATGTTGCTGACTTATTATTAAATTAACACATTCAACTTTTAAACATTTTTCTACTAAACTATGCACACTGCTCGATAATTTTCAATGTTTTCTTTGGACCCTTGATTTATGAATTTGTCTTAAAAAACTGTGTTTCCAATATTCGGGAAAGATGCTTTAATTAAGGGACATGTTAAACAGAACCAGTAGTGGTTTTGCAAAAATAAAAGTACACTTTTTCAAAAAATAGACCGGAATATCGTCAGGTCCTGATGACAGCCTCCAAGGTAGACTCATGAGATGAACAATAATATCTTTAATATCTATATTAAATTTAGATACATCTACAGTAGATTTAAAGTTATTTATAGGTACCTGATTGACTTTTATATCGGAATAGACTGTAGCAAAAAGATCAACTGTTTTTTGAATGTCGTCAGCGATCACGTAACACATTACAATGATTTCTTAGATCAGAGAAAAGAATATAATCTTCTTCACGACCGAACTTTTTATGAAGCTGCTTTTTTTTCATAAATTAGTTTTTTTAATTCAGAGTTAAACCATGGAGGGAAAGTAGTCGTTTTATATTTTTTCAAAGGTATAAAACTTATTGCACTATATAAAATGTCGTAAAAGCAGGAACTTATTCATAAACAAAAAAGAATATTTGAAAAATAAAGATTTAGTGTCAATCACAATTAATTTTAAATATAAGGTTATACATACAGTGTAGGATACGTATTGATCTAACAAAAAGTGACTGCTTACTTCTGCTCCAGCCAATGTCCTGTCCCCGGTGCTCCGAACATGACAATGTAGGTAAGCGGTTGCTCCCAATTGCACTGTTACATTGGTAATTGTATTGTTTTCGGCTCCGGTCATGGCTTCGGCCCTCGAGAAGTCCTCGAAACTCGGATACCACAATTGCCGCCATTCCGAATATTTTTGTTGCTGTTGATAGCCGTCCCGTCGAGCTGTAAAAGAAAATAGGGTGTTAGAACTTTGATGGTTGTTTCGTGGGTCTTAGTTAGTAATAAGTTTGGGACAGTTACGATAACACTTGTGGGACACATCGTAAATAGGGGGTGGAGAAACGTACGGAGGCGTCATGGATGACTACGTTAAAGCATCCGACGAATAATAATTATATCCCGCTAACGTCCATTTGGCAATGTTGACCTATACTTTTTAGTTATTAATGACATCTATATGATATTTTACATTAAACGCCGTTTGTATCATTTGAATAGGACCAATAATAACAAAAATATACGGTAATGCTTTTTTGACAATGTTGCCATGTATGTTTTTTATTAAATATAATAGGTTTATTCCAACAACAGTACAGAACCGTTTGGAATTTATCTGCGCATGAGCAGTACGATTGAACGGATCTATTTTTCGTAATACACATGCTCAGATAAATTCCGAATGGTTCTGCACTACTGTTGGAACAAACCTAATATTTGTATAATATTTTACGTTGGACATCGTTTGTCTCATTTACTTACGATATATATTTATGCCTTTTTCAAATATTACAGTGAATATTTTTTTGTTATACTGGGTCTTCAACAATACCGAAAACCCACGTGACCAAATCGTCATGACAGCGATTGGTGAAAATAAAAGTAAAAATCCCTAGATATGAGCCAGTGCCGTAGGTATTTTATTACAAACTAGATCTTCTTCTTTTTTATGGACTGCAACTACGAGAACAAAATTCAGTTAGGTAACTGTTGGAATTATATCTCAAAATCATAATATTAATTAGAGGTGCTTTACATTATTGTATTTTAATGTTAGAATTTGATATTTTAATTAGATTTATTCAAATGCAATAATTTAAAATTTATATAATTAACATAACCTTAAAAACTAAACTGTTATATCTAGTTTGTATTATTGTATTTAACGAAAAGAATAATAAACCTGAAATATGCGTACTAGTTATTGCCACTATTGCAAAAAAAAACCTTTACCAGAAAGTTATGGACAAAAAATGTTATTCATTAAAATATGAATAAAATTAAAAATTTACTTTAGATTGACTCTAAGATATTTAGCTACAGCTGAAACTTTAAATAAGCTAGGCAGAAGACAATGGCAGTATTTGGCAATTATTGCAGTTTAAGTTAACAAATTTAAAACTTACTGGAATTCTACCTGAGCAATGGGAAGTAATAAACAAATAATTTAAGTTTGTTCTATTATTTATTTGTTACAGGGTTTAAACCATTTACAAAATACATTGTTACTTATTTGTATACAAAAAAATATTAATATTAATGTAACAAGCACATATTTGTTTTACCTTACAGCTCTCACTTCTCACTTTAAATTATAAAGGCATACCTATTAACAACTATTTTATTTAAAAGGATATTGAGTAGTAATCAGTGGTGCACAAACGATACTAATTCACAGTACCTATCTGTTCAAAATCTTTACCACCAGCTTTAATATAAGCATTAATTGTTCTTCTTTGAACACATTATGCAGTTTCTCCTCAGTTGTATTTTGTATTTCATTTAATATAGGTGCTCCAGTTCATAAACGTCACACAAACGATTTTGAATTGAACGATCTGTAATATTCCATAGGTAGGTTTAACAAAATTAAGGTGAAATGATTGTTGCAGTACCGAAACTTTATAGGGGAGATGCATCAGAAATGTTTTCAATACTTTATGGCTAGTTCGTAGCGACAAACCTAAAAAATATATGTTTTGAATTTCACTTATCAGAGTCAGTCTTTGAAACACCGTTCATACCTGTTTGAAGTGCTGTTTTTTTTTACTAACTTATTGGGAATTTGCACCATGTTAATTTGCACATCTTCAACAGCTTTTGTTATTACTTTGGGCCTTTTGGAGCTTCTTCCATTTATATAATTTTGAACAAATATTTGTTTATGACGACAAAAAAGAATCACATTCCATTTATTCACTGGAAAACGTTCCTCAAATTTTGGAATACAATTACGAATATAAAATAATTTTGTTCCAGTGTAACATTACCTGAAATAAATGATATACAGTCATTAACTTTTACAAGTTACAGTAAATAAATTTGTACTTACCAACAAAAAAGAATTAAGCCACCAATAATCTCTAAAAATAACTAATTGCTCCATTAATATTAAATGAAAAGTGGAATAAAGGTGTTTATAAAATGTAAACAAATATAATATAAATATTCACCGTCCCCAAATGAACGCCAGTGACATTTCTGACAGGACTGTCAGTTCAGTTTAGTTCTTTTTACGTCAAATCAGGCCCTTTCGATGGGTTTTTGATGGTTATCAGATCACGTGGGTTTCGGGTATTGTTGAAGACCTGGTAGTATACGAGCAAGAGATATAGTGTGACTATAAAGGCAGCCGGCAACATACAAAAAAAAACTAAGGAGACTGATACATCACCTTTAAATTAGTAGAGGAGCACTACAATCGTATAAATTTAGATTTTTACGTTTTCGGGTCCCTAGATAACGAAAAACATGTTTTCTTCATTCTGTCGGTCTGTTTGCCGTCCGTCGTCTATTTTCTGTCGTCTGTCTTTTGGCGCGATAGCTCAAAAACGGCTTGTGAGAAAAACTTAAAATTTTATATGCAGATAAGACTTCCTCTTGTCATAAAACACATTATACTTCTGGTTAGATATATACAGGGTATGCAGTTAAAAAAGTTTTTTTTTTAAAGTCAGCAGATTTAGAATAAAATTGGTTTCTGATAAAATTGGCATCTGATCAAAGATAACAGATCATACATTACTTTTAAAAAATTCAAAATGGCTTTCCTGTTTTTACAATTTATACAGCGTGTTTTTTAATGGTATGCTAATATTGTAGGGTGTGATTTATCAGGTAATTTAATGAAGAAAAATTCAAATAAACATATATTTGCAACGGCTTCAATTTTTTGCTACAGAGAGTTGAAAATTTGTTTTTTAAAGAGATATTTTTTAATATCTCTGAAAATAGTTTAGATATAATTTTCAATTTTGGCATGTGTTAATAGGAAATAAAACCACATATTTTAGTTGGAAAATTTATTTTATTGCTCTACCAGTGGCGACTCTGCAAACATGTCATCTGATATTTTCTACAAAAAAAAGTAGTATGCCACTGACATTTTTATATAGCTATATATGAAAAGTTATTATAACTAAGAAATGTTTTCCAAGAGAAAAGCAAAATTAAAGGTCTCTAGTAAGTCTAGATCACTGCATGATGGAAAATATTAGAAGGAAGGTTTATAATTTTTATTCTAATACTATTGTACGATCTTTTCAAATGATTAAAAATGAAATCAAGTTGATTCCTGGTTTCCTTTATGAATCTAATAAAACCACTAGAAAAGTGCTCCATTCTTTGTGTTTAAGATATCGTACCTTAAATAAAAAACAGCATATTAAGGAATCGCAAGGAATTATGATTTTACGTAATGAATACCTTACTAAAATAGAGGAAACTCGTCGGCAAGATAGATGCATAGTGTATCTTGATGAGACTTGGTACGACACTCATGATATTGTGAAACATAGGATGGAGTGATCAATCTGCTAAATGTTCTGTAAAGGCTCCTTCAAATAGAGGAAAACTTTTCATAATATTATATGCCGGTAATGAAAACGGTTTTTGTTCCAAATTGCTTGCTATTATCAGCAAAGAATATTTTAAGTTGTTCAGCAGATTATCACCAAAATATGACATCTACCTTGGTCGAGAAATGGTTTGGTGAACAATTAATTCCTAATTTACCACCAAATGCTATAATATTAATGGATAATGTCCCCTACCACTATTGTCAAACAAGTAAAATTCCAAAAGCAAAAAGCTCGAAAAGAGGTAATTTCCGCGTTTTTTGGCAGAATGGGTGTATCATATTCACCTACAGTTTTAAAAAAGATTTGCTTACGATATTGAAAGGCTTAAATCTCAAATCTAGCTATGTTGTGGATGAGATAGCTACGGAATTCAGTCATACCGCAACACGCTTACCACTATATTATTGTACATTTAATGCAATAAAATTAATTTGAAGTAACATCAAAAGGTAGGTCAGAAAAAATGTTAATCCTGCGTTGTCTGAAAGCGTTTTAGATGTCAACATAGAAATTGTTGGAGGTAGATTTTAAGATTTATGGCCTAATTGTGTTCTCCATGTTACCAAAATTGAAAATAATCATCGAGTATTTCCGGCTCATTCTTGTATTATAAACCTGAATGACACGTCAAGTGAAGATGATAGTTCTGATAAGATTTGATTTTCATTTTAGTTATATTTTTACTTTATTAAACGTAACCACCTATCTGTTGGTTCACGTTATTTTGGAAAGGAACATGATGTTGTTCCTGTTTTCCTTTTCTAGGAATGTAACCTTGATATAGTGAGAAGGCTTGCGTGCTTTAATCACTTTAGAAATTAAAGCCAGATTAATACATTCCAAAATCTTTTAATTTTTTTATAATAAAAGGATACAAATAACATTTGTTCAAGCATTTTTCGTAACATCCTACATTGATTTTTAATATTCAATGTAATATTTAAATACTTTAATTAACATCTATTTGAAGTTAGGAAATTATGCAAATAATGTGATAATTTTTAAATGCGTATAACATTTCGCTTGAAATATATAATAATCTTACATTAAAGCATAACATACAACTAATTAGATCCGTCCCTGTCCCTGTCTGTATATATATGAATCCCTTTGTTGTGCCGAAATAGAAAGAACATCAAGTTTCCTTAGTTTTTTTTTTGTATGTTGCCGGCTGGTTTTAAAGCTTTAAAGTCACACTATATCTCTTGTTCGTACCATACATATTACGTCCATACGATATTTCGAACTACCCCGCATTTTCTCTCTTCAACTAAAGTTAGACGCAACTTTTCGAGTAATTCCATTATCACAAACCTCCTTATATGACGCTTTGCGATGCCTAGATGTAGTGACATATGACAGCAT